TGTCAGTTTGGGTGGTCTCATTGATCCGGTGGTCCTGGGCGATGAAATCTTGAATCTGGTTCTCCTCCTTTATCTCGCTAATATATTCGTCCTGTTCGATGAAATCCGAGTTCTGGGTTTCCTCCTTTATTCTGCTCTTGTCGTGATCCTGGTCAGTAAAATCAGAGTCCCGGTTCTCCTCTTTAATTCCACTTTTATAGTGGTCCTGATCGACGAAATATGGGTCCAGGTTCTCCTCCTTTATTTGAACTATACAGAGGTCCTGATAATCCACATTCTGGTCCTGGCTGTCCTCCTTCATTCTACTATTATCCTGGTCCTGGTTGTCCTCCTTCATTCTGCTATCATACTGGTCCTGGCTGTCCTCCTTCATTCTGCTATCATACTGGTCCTGGTTGATCAAATAAATTCCCTGATTCTGTTTGTCTCCGCCACCATTTACCTCAACAATCACCTTATGTATTCTCGCGATCCCACATCTTCTCGCGGTCACTAGAAGTTCAGCTCAGCTCCGACCCCTAGTTACTCCTGCTAAAGTGTCAGATAAAACCTGACAATGGCTACTTGATTACAGACAGAAGATAAAAGCAGCTTCATGTTTTCAGCAGGTCACTGTTGTTTTAGCTCAGTGAGCTAAAATTACTGAAACGTTTTGTTTGTAGTGTTCAGCCTAGTTTTTTTTTTAAACATTTAAATCAACCTTTACTGGCGACATCGGCTGGTCACATGGTGTAAATAGTCATAATAAAAAAATGAGTGAAAGCTTTGGAAGATGTAGGCCTATATGATAGCCTATACCTTTTTAAAAGGTATAGGCTATTAAATATTTTTATACTAAATATGTAGGTCTATGTGTAATGGTAATATTTGGGGTCGTATATGAGATGGTGTGACTGGGCCTAGATGGGACTGTTCAGTGTTTTCAATTTTACAGTATCATTGTGAGTAATAATGTAATAGCAAAGCTTTTATACATTGTTTATTATATTTGTAGATATGTATTATTAAGAAAGTATTTATATTTGGACAGGACATTAACATTTAGTTTAAAAAAAAAACTATGAAACTTAGCATAACACTGATGGGGAGTGCTTGTGGACTGGGTCTATTAGAAAAACATGTTCAAGCAAATGTTTTCTGATTTGAACATTTTCTTTCTTGTTTATCTATTATTTATTTGTTTGTTCATTTGTTGCCTAAAACCTCTCATATATATATATAGCCATCTCTACCATCCTTTCCATGCATAGTGTCTCTGTTGGTTTAATGATGTCAACAATATCAAATTACTACTTGTAAAATATTTTTACCTGAGTTTGTTAAAAGTTTGTTATGAGTTTTTAAAATGTTATGGCATTTTATAGTAAAGTGCTAAAAAGGAAGCCTACATATAATTTATAATCCAGTACAGTGAAAGACATTAAAATTAGACTGCACCGGAGCTACGAGAAGGTTGAACCGATGTAAATTCAAGTTGTTAAAAACAGGAGACAAACAAAACATAACAAAAATGCCCCTGGGTGTGGTGGATATGGGAAGAGGTTCTGCGGAAGTGAAATGTATATACAGTGTTGTGACCCTGCAGAGATATTGGATCCTGATTATATACAGTATAATATTTATATCTGCTAACAAATCAATTAATCTCAAGTTTTTGTAATGGGTTTTCATTCAATCAGTCAAATACATAAAATAAAATGATCATAGGAATGGATAGCTCACTTATCAACATTAATGGTGCCCAAGCCTCAGTGATTCACATACATGTACATGGTCTGTATTTGTGCACACAGTACATGTACTCACTACACTGATCAGCTGAGACAGAGACACCTATATGGTGAGGGTGACCTCCTGGCTCTTACTGACAGCTGGTTTATTGTAATATGTTCTCATAAATGTGTGTCTTAAATCCCTATGTTGGTTCAAGTTTATGCAGTTAACTTATCAGTCAGTCACAAATAACATGAGTTTGATCAAGTGGTTTGTGTCTCACAAAATGATGTGTTCATGAACTTTGGCCCTGCTGTGATAATGTGAGTCATTCAGTCCTGTTAGCAGCGAGGGGCTGGACATATTGAAATGGTTCTGCAGTAAATAACATTCTAATACAGCTGGTTTGTGGGAGTGTGTAAGGGTTCCTTCAGATGACTTGTGGTGTCATCAGTAACTAAGAAAAGATCAATGACTGCTTTGTTTGCTACTTTGTATGATTTAAAGTCATATATCAGTTTAACTCATAGTAAACCTACCTGATCAGGTGGCAGGTTCCATTTAGACCAGTCTAAGAAGGCCACTGGTGAGTAGTGGGACAGAGTAGAAGGTAGCTTTTAGGAGGCTGTTTTTCCTTTTGTCCAGTCGAATTTCCCAGGATTCACTTTTCCTTATTTTTTTTATAAATATTTTTGCTTATAAATACCTTTTTTTTCACAAAGTCCCACTTACTAACCTGCTGCTTCAACACATCTTCCAACGCCAAATATTTCTGCAGTGTGGTCCTATACTTGTGCACTATACGACTCTACAATAAAGGATTAAATGGCATCATTCTTAAATGTTTCATAGCCTTAGGAAAGGAATTTCACTGTAGTCTCCAGCAGGTACAGTATGTTGAAGGGAATATGTGGGGGGTGTGCAGTGCTGCAGTTAGGCTACCACTAGATGGGGCTGCACATTAACATCACTGCTGTGATGCTGGTAGTCAGAGCTGGAGCTACACACTGCCTGCCTAAGGTGTTTGCAGGTAAACATCACAAAAGCAATTATGCTGCAAGATGGTGTGAGTGCAAATGTGACTATTTGATTGTAGTACACCACCAAATGATCCGATGAACTTGTATGTAGGGTCTTTACCAAGCTGAGAGTAGTGCAATATATAAATGTTTATGAACTTATTTAACACTTGCAACCAAACAATATGATTAAAACTCCAAAACTTGACCTTCACACAAATCTTATTGTACTCATAACTGTTGATCATCAGGTGGAGTTAAGACCCAGTACATTTTTGTTATGACTTGGATATTCATTGCTTTGTACCTTCACTGACATCAGAGATGTAAGTTTCATATGGCTGGTTTACCCTCCCAATAGATGCATGCCTTTATGACACTGAAAAGAGGCTTTCAGGTTCACATCTACAGTCTGAGTATAAAGGAATAAATCAGGAACAAAGCAGTCAGCACAAAGCCCACTGTCACCATTGACCAATAAATCAAAGGCATTTCTACAGTGGGTTACAGTGTATCATCTTATGCCAGCACATTGGGTTAATTGGGACCAAACCAGATACATTTGTAGCAAAAATGCCTTGATTAGGAGGCCCTAAGATGTGAGATCACATGAACAGACCACCTGTGGGGCTTTCATTGGTATTTCAATATCATTCATGTCAAGGTCCCTGCACTCGCCGACACAGCTTGAGCCTGGGGAGAAGATGTTTCAATTCAGGGTTTGCGAGAAACACATACACATACACACACACACAAGATGCAGGGGCTCTGGCAGGTTTCAGCTCTGACAAACCCAAGAAAAAGAGACGGGGTTCCAAAATGCTCTTTCAGTTGTAGGACATCCATCAAATCATCCAAATGGCGACATTTAGGGGGAACCCTGGCACATCACACAGACACTCCTAATACACACCACCTTTATTCTAGGCTGTTAAAAAAGAAAGATCAAAGTTTCTGCAGATGAAAAGAGTCAGTTCCCTGCATTTATACCCCCATTCACTCATTCCCTCTTGTACTAAATTAAGAAAGCAGGCATCGGCGGGCATATGAAGAGGACTTTAACAATTAGGGAGATGCTCCAGCTCAACCCCTGCCTCTAATTACCAGTCTCTGATGGTTAAAAGGGCTTCCTTTTTAGCCAGAACTCTCAAAGCTGCTATTGCTGCTTCCATCCTTAACAAGGTGACCACAGGAACCACAAAATATGCCTGTACAAGCTGGGGAAACAGAAAACTCTCCCTTGTGTGTGATAATACTGCAAAGTTACACAGACCTCAAGATTTATCAAATGTTTTATTGTCAAAATAAAGGTCATATTTGCTTTCTCAAAAAAGAGATCTATACTTTGTACAAATTTACAATTAACTTATAAACCTCTTTATGCACAAATACACGTTTTTACATATGCTTTATAAATACATTTGAAATTACAAAATGAATGACCCGTAAAATACTTAGGCACTATTTAGGCTTATTTTGAACTATCTTTGATGTGACTGAAGTATACAACGTTATCTGGCACTATGTAGAAAAAATGATAATTAAAAAACCCAAATGCTTTTTGCAATTAAAACTCTCTCTACCTACAAGTAGCTAATGCCCAGTTTCTTTTAAAAGCCCCAATACCTGTACCTAAAGAGTGAGGAAGTTACCTGTGTGAATGCCAGGTGCACTGTTTCAACCAGTTCTCCTCATAGAGGTGTGTGTAAATGTTTGGGAGTAAAGGAGGGGGATGCCTCAGCAGTAGTTCATTACTATGCAAATTGCTTAAGACAGAGGGTAATGGGTTATCCCCCAAATAATTAGCAGTCTTCATAAGCTGCTTTTGTTTTCTCATTCAAACCTGGGACAATGGCATCTGCTTAGGGCAAGACACGGAGCTGGCCGTGCCTGACCTCCACGTCAGTCCGGTGCTCACGTCGCTGTACATAGAGCCGCTGGTGCCTTTACTGCCCCAGCAGCACCTGGTGCAGAAAGTCCTCCAAGAGTCCAGGGTTTTACCAGACCAGATCCAAACTCCGGACGTGATGCCTACTAGAAGGCACATAAAGTACTTGAGCATAAAAACTGCGTAGTCCGGGCTCCGACGGTCCCGCTCTAATAAACAGTTGGAGCAGTTGTGTGTGATCTCCCAGCTCTGCCTGTTGTGCTGCTCGTAAAAGTAACAGGCGACTATAATCGTTGCTGGCACGGTATAGAGCACTGTGAAGATGCCTATTCTAATCATCAGCTTCTCTAGTTTGTCCGTTTTTGTGCCACCTTGTTTTATGACGCTGCGGATCCTGAACAGAGACACAAATCCGGCCAGGAGAAACATAGTGCCTATGAATAAATAAATCACCAAAGGGGCCAGAACAAAGCCTCGCAGGTTGTCAAGGTTTTGGTTCCCCACGTAGCAGATGCCTGCCACAGAGTCTCCATCCACAGAGCTCAGCGCCAGAACCACAATGGACTTCATGCTGGGGATGAGCCAGGCGGCCAGGTGGAAGTATTGGGAGTAACTGGCGATCGCCTCGTTGCCCCATTTCATCCCAGCTGCAAGAAACCAGGTCAGAGACAGGATGACCCACCAGATAGAGCTGGCCATGCCGAAAAAGTAAATTAAGAGGAAGACTACAGTGCAGAGTGCTGGGCCGGTGGTCTCATAGTGAATGTGCTCCAGGTCAAACTCCCGGTTGCACGCCACTTTCTCGTGTCCAGCGACTAGTCTGACAATGTAGCCGATTGAAACAAACATGTAACAGGCTGAGAGGAAGATTATGGGTCTCTCTGGATATTTGAAGCGCTCCATGTCGATGAGGAAAGTGGCAACGGTGGCAAAAGTTGACACAAAACACAACACTGACCAAAGTCCAATCCAAAAGGCGGTGAAAGCTCTCTCATTGTGCGTAAAATAGGGGTTGTGGCACGGCATGGCGCAGTTAGTAATCTGTCCCGTTTTGACACGGTTGTACAGGGGGTGCCGGCCTGTGTTCACTGGTACCATGGGCTCCAGACACTTGCATCCGGGCTCACACGGAGCACCCGGCGGCTTGTATTTCCCAGGCACGCCGGGTCTGCTGGGCTTATTTTTAGGTGGATTGTAACCCTTACCGGGATGGCTGGTGGGTTTTGAGAGGACAGGGGAGACTGTTGTGGAGTCGGTCCTGTTGTAGTCCATGCACAGCGTGTCAGGGTTGCCTTGCACCGGCAGCAAGTCACACTTCATCCTGTCCGGCCAGGGAAAGCCGTACTGCCTCATGAGAGGAGCACAGCCAGTCCGGGCTCTCTCACACACGCTCCGGCACGGCGGGAGGGGTTTTTTGTAGTCTTCCAGGCAGATCGGTGTGTACATGCTGCACAGAAAGAACTTCAGGTCCGGTGAACACTGGATCTCAACCAGAGGCCAGAACTGGTGCACCTCCAGTCCCGCCTCGTCCTGCGTATCGTGGTTAAACTGATTAGGCATGTAGGTATAGTTGTAGCCGATCCCCTTACACAGGGGCACGGTTATCTCTTGGCAGGTGATCTCCTTGGCCGTGGTGCAGCTGGATCGGGGTAGGAGAGCGACTGAGAGGAACAGGTAAATCCCAAGCAGGTCCATCTCTCCAGCGTGTGGTATCCCCCTCATCTGCAATTGTATAAACAACAATAAATCCTCTGAACTGTCTGCTTTTGTCTCTGGTACGACTAGATGTTGCGCTGTGAACCCATCTCGCTTCTCTCAGGATCTTGCACAGAGTTGCAAGCAATGTGCAAGCCTTGTTTACTTTCGGCTGAGGAGGAGGAGGAGGAGGAGAGGACAAAACAGCCTTCAGGGTGGCGAGCAGCACTCAAGATGGCTGAGAGGAGATTCTCTCTTCTTATGGAAGCTGCTCCCAGTATCCGTAAACAAAGTGCTGTCAGCCGATCGCTATAAATAGAAAAATGTGGCCCTCCTTTCTTTCTTCAAAACACAGCGACTGCGTTACATCTGCTCGTCCCACCTTGGTCCTGGTTCCCATACAAATCATCAGCTTGGAGGCGAAGCGGTGCCAATATATACCTCAGCCTGCCTTGCTACACCCTCAGAGCCGCTGCTCCAATCACAGAGCTTCAGGGGTGGTGCCTCCCATGTGCTAGTCAAGTTCTTTAAATTGTTTTATTTAATTTTATTTTTAACCTAAAATGTCGCCGAAATACAGGACAGTGACCGGGATGACATAGGCCAACTGTTTCTGTGAAAAAACACAAAAGTTGAGGTGCAGATTAATATATAATGGGTTCCCCAGAACCTATTTCCACCATTAAATCAATACTTTTGTAACAGTATATCATAAGTACATAAACCACTGTTAGTCAGAATATCATTTTCATAAACACCTCAGAGACTAAACGTTCTGCTCACAGGCCTGTAACTTCCCTTAACACAGAGTCTTGTATACTGTCATAATAATAGTAACACACACTAAGCAGGGCGAGAGCGCGTCTAGCTCCAGATGATTGTTTCTGTGACAGAGGGACCAGTTTGGTAAATTGGCTAATTTGCGCACGATAAGACTACCCAGGGAGCTGTCTGTCCTTGTGAAAAGCTGTTTTATTTTTTAAATGAGGTGCTAATGTTTCGTTTAACGCGTGCATAGAGCTCAGCGGGAGGTGTAATTGCACAAGGCAAAGACTAAACAGCACCGCACACACAGCAGTAGAGCACTCATATCAGTGTTAACGTGCTTACAGAGCCTCTGTACTGATTTGACAGTAATCCGTTTGCGTTGAATGGTATTCTTTTTCCATCTCTGCTCTGGTCAGATTTTTCCTATAACGTTTCTTTAAAGGCTTGCAGGTGCGACTGTGTTCAGTGGGTAGAGCAGTCATCTCCCAGCCGGAGGGTCTGAGGTTCGAATCTCGGTGCCTGCAGTGCACATGTCCTTGGGCAAGACATTGAACCCTCGATGGTTAGAGCCATCAGTTGAGTTGGCTCCACAGATGGCTGCCTCGGTTCTCTATCGGAAACAAATTCCTTGTGTGTAACATACTTGGCCAATAAAGGTGGTTATCCTTAATGCCTTCCTGTGTCCAGTGCTATGACTATCAATTCTGCAATATGGTTTTAGGTGCTTACATATAGGCTACAAATGCAGTTGTGAGGTGATTTAGACATTAGACCTATTAGCCTGTACATCTTCTCTGTATTTGAGATGCACTTTTTACTCTAATATATTTATTGGAAAGATATATATCAGTTTTACACAGAAAAAAGGGGGGCCTCATAAACCATATCACCAACTATTAAACTGCCCAAAATGAAAACAAGTAGTTCAAGTTCAAGTTCAAAGTGTTTATTTGTCATATGCACAGTTAGGAAACGTGTTTCCCCATACAATGAAATTCTTACTTCCATCCATATGAATGCCATAAAATACAAATGAAATATAAAGTAGATAAATAAGTAACACAAAATCTAAGGCACTTTAAGCAGCAAATGCAGCAATATAATAAAAAGATATAAGAATATAATAGAGAATGTATGCTGCATGGGAGCAGTATGTGCAGCAGTCAACAGTCATTGTGCAATTATGCATGTAGTTTATCCTTGTAACATTAAAATGCTTATTACAGATGAATGTATTATTAATCACAATCTTTTAATAAAATATCAATAAAAATTAACCTAACGGCCATTGTGCTGCATAATGAGTAGTTTTATTCTTCACATTTTAACTACATTAAATTACATTACATTTGCCTTTTTTACTCTTAATATTTTGCATGCAGGGGTATTTTTGAACCACAGTATTGTTGTTCTTACTGAAGTAACTATCTGAATAGTTGTCTAGTAGCACTCTAAAATATGTCACACATATTGAATCTGGCTTTTCTAAGCCGAACTTTTGATGCAGAGGCTAAAATCTTTCAAAACTCAACACAGTTCTGAAATAATGCACATAATAATAACATTCATAATTATATTTAATGAACTCAGAGTGAGTTACAGCTAGTTTGATATAGTGCACATAATCTTTGGAAGTTGGTGGTGTTGTATCCAGTACTTTTTACCATACGGACTCTGAGAGGCGAGGCAGTCCAAGTAACTTCAAAACAGTGCTGATTTATTCAAAGGATCACAGGTAAAATTAACATTACACGCTCAGGTATCTTGCACCTCCAAACTGCACGCAGGCAGAAAACATTCTCACGACCTCTAGTAACATGTCGTGACTTAAACATAAGAACATATTATGGCTAAGGCTACAGTTATACACGTCATAATAATAATATTAAACATCCTGTCTGCTGACAGTCATCAACTCTTCTCTCTAGTTATCCTTGACCAGATGTACCCTGTAGAAACTCATAAGCATGCCTAAGCATTTAACAGTCTAACTAGACATCCTATCTCCACTAAACATTTCTAATACATAAAGTATCTATCCAATTTATATCTGACTAAAAATACCTAACAGTGGAAATGTGTTTTTAAACATCAAAACACTTGAAGTAGCATGTGCAAAAGATAGTTTTATTATCAGAAGTATTATTATTATCATTATCCTTTGTTGTGCACAAACTTACATACACACATAGGCTTGATTTATAGTTCTGTGTTGAATTTACACCGTAGGTAACACATAGCTTCGTACCCTACTTCGTAGCCTGAAATGCACCTCTCCAGAACTGTAACTACACATCATGGCAATGCAGACCTCAACAAGGAGAGGTGCTCACAACAGCATAGGCCACTTGCATAGTATATGCTGTAGGCTTATTACAGAGGGAAAAGCCAATAAATCCCCCTTGAGCAAGCATTTGGTGACAGTGGGAAGGAAAAACTCCCTTTAATGGAAGAAACCTCAGACAGACCCCGGCTCTTGGTGGGCGGCCTTCTGCCTCGACCTGTTGGGGTGAGTGGATAGAGGAGAGAGAAAAGAAAAGCAACAAGACACAACAAACAATCAAACACTGGTCAGGTTGATGTGGCTGGTGACTGCTCATCAGAAACATAGAGCTCCAGTGCAACCAGCCAGGGCAACCTGCAGAAAAGTACAGGGAGAGAGAGGACACACTACAGGGAGAGAGGAGACACAAAGTTAGTAATGTGTAATGGTGGCATATAGAACCCCAGCAGCCTAGGCCTATAGCAGCATAACTAAGGGAAGGCTCAGGGTCACCTGATCTAGCCCTAACTATAAGCTTTATCAAAAAGGAACGTCTTAAGTCTAATCTTAAAGGTAGAGAGGGTGTCTGCCTCCCGAACTGAGACTGGGAGTTGGTTCCATAGGATTTAAGTATCACAAAGTGTGTATGGCCTAAGGCAGTGCTGGAGTCTAAGTTTAGTGTGTTTGGAATGGAGCCAGGATTTTATCATATCAGACAACTTCTTTACAGCCTTAACCAGCAGAATGAATAGAAGAACCATGATTGAGCTGAGCATCTGGAGACACTGACTGTCCTGTAAAAACAACTTTATATGTCATTTGTACCAGCAGGTTATTATGACCAACAGTAAAGTGTTTGGTGACCTACTGTATAGTGAGTGCAGTAATTATAATATAAACAAAGGAGGAAGTTAGGTGCCATAGAATAGAGAAAGGCAAAGTCCAGATTAAGAGAGGGTTGAAGTGGTTGGTTGGGTCAAAAAACACAGGACATTTTCTACAGGAGACTGGTGTTCAGTTTTTATCCATGACCATCCCACAGTCTTAACTGTATGTTGGTTATTGTAACAGTGACAATGAAGGATATTTTATCCTAAACCACAGTTTTTCTAAACCTAATTTCCGTTCCTAAAACTACCCTAAGCCTAAATGAAACTATAATCTTTCCTTAACTGTACTGTGTATTTATAATTATTTCCATGTTGACAAGGCCCAGTAAGCTGGGAGGATCCTGCAGGTTGTATTACAAGGTAGGAACAAGCAGCACATATTGTTGTTTAGGTTGGAGAACTTGTTGATTAAGTGACTCCCAGATGAGAGATAACAAGGAAGGAGCTCTGTTCATGGGTGTTTGCTTTTCATTAGCAAATGAGAGTTTGGATAGCCAGTGCTGTGGAGGTATGGGAGCGTGTGTTTGTACACATCATTAATGATGTAATATTTTTTTAGTAATAAACTGCGGTATTTGAAATGTGTGAAAATAGCACACAACAAAAAGGGAGTGAGGGTTAGATGCTGGTCACAGTGTGGGAGAGTTATAGAGGGAGCAGAGGGAGGGCAGACAAGGGCAGGATGTCTGTTGTGGACAGAAATAATGATTTGTTCCAAAGAAGTCCACACATTTCCTATCGAGCTTCATGCTGTGAGAAAATATCTCCCCGGACCCAGCCCTTAAAGACACACTTTGTGACCAATGAATAAAATCTACAATCACGTCAAGGTCCAAGGTAATGTGTTAAAGTTAAAGCCCCATTCTGTCTGCCAGGATCACACACTCCCGCTGAAGAAGTGTGACTGCTTGCCAGATCCCGGACTTACCTCTAAGATGGTGAAACAGAGATATGCTAATGCAACTTTATCATATGAAGGAAAGCTTCGAGGAGATTTATCCAATTTGCAGGACACAATTCCAAGGGCCTCGGTGGCATTTAGCAGGCTCGTGCTAACCCGGGGCTGCTTGTTAAGACTTAATTAGCTGTGTATGCTCAGGCCTCTTCTCTCTGAAGGAGGTGGAGTAGGGCTCCCCAGGCTCCAGCCTCAACTCCACTATAGACACTCCATATGGGGCTTGTTTGCTCATGGCTTGCCTGATAATCACTGTCAGGTGGAGCTGGAAGAGACAGAGCAAGGCTGAGGGGATTTGGGGGAGTGCCAGAAACCTTCCCCCTCAGCAATGGTAGCAATTCCTTTCTCCATCACAGTACTCCTGAGTTGACAGAGCATGGAGAATGTACCCAGTGAATTAACTCACCTAGGACCCATTACCTTAACAAATACAGCCGGCCCTTCCAATCAGCCTACTGCTGGGAACACAGGCAGACCCTATAAATCCTTCCTTACAGCCACTATCCC